GCCAGAGTCACAAGGTATAACAGCGTCTGCAAGATCCTCATATAAGACACTGTTAAAGCGGACGCAAACGGAGACAGCAACGAACGAACTGGCCAAGCAATATCAAAAAGTGGACGGCCATGACAATGACAAGACCAACAGATCATCCTGGAGGAGGTTGACTGTTTCTTCTCCCTTTAGTTCCCATTGACGATTTAAGCAATCAAGGGACAGTTGATGATGATGATGATGTTGCTGCTGATGATATTAAATGCATCGAAGATAACGCAGTTGAGGATTCTAGGGCACATAACGAGGAGGGAGGGCTTGGAAAATCTGATACCCACAGGACAGAGAGAAGACAAGAGAGACAGAGGACAAGAACAAGTGAGATTTAGTAAATGGATGGCGGAACAGGGTATAGCAAAAAAAAAACAAAAAACAAAAAAAAAAAAACAAAACAAAGCAGAAAGACAACATTTATTAAGAGATACAAGAGACAAGAAGTTGTGGAGAGCCATGATCGGCTACGTTCTGAGAGGACACGCCACATAAAAAAAGAAGAGGCTAAAACGTCAAACAGCGTATCGCTTTTATAGCTTCTTACACCAGCAACAGCAGACGACAAATCTCGAACTTCGACATCCAAGTGTCTGGAAACGTTGAAATATTTCCCCGTATAAACTATCAGGGCTACCCTATATTGCCCGTGTATAATATCTAGACAAGACCAGTAAAGTACAAAGTCATGGTGAACAATATTATTTGGAGTTTAACTATATTCTGCAATTTATTTAAATATGTTGCACAAGAAGATTCACGGCTCGGACTGCTGAATCGGAGAGCCGAGTTCGAATTCAAGTCGAATCCATTACATTCACTTACGTACTAATACCCTTGGGAAAGGTATGAATTCTCTTTCCAAACCCAGCTATTGGTAAATTAGAGAACAGACCATGGATGGCAACTTGTCTACCGAAGAAAGAAATGGTAACCTACTGCGGGAAAAAATCTGCCGAGTCAGTCATATATCGAAATACGCATGATCGCCTCAGCGGGTATCACGCATGACACATACCTGCCTGACTGGTCCTGCCCTGGTAATAGCAATAAACAAATTCAGAATCAACAATATTTTTTTAATATTTCCATTTTCAATTTAATTTGATATTTTGCCACTGTTTATTTTTAAAATATTTGAATTGGTTTGTGCGTGTAAATAGACAGGAATTTTTGTTAAAATTTTAGCGTTTTTTATATTTGCGTTTTTAAAACAACAACAGACAAACAAATAATTTATTAATAATAAATTTAGAAGACAATTTTATTTATTGAACAAGAAATATTAAATATTCCACAATAAATTCACTTCTTATTCATTTATGAATATTACCACTGTTTATTTTAAAAAAATAATTGAATGCCGTCGATTTTAAATAAGAAATACGAAAATGACGGCATAATTTTTGCTGTGTCAAAGTACGTCACAAAGAACTGCTTGAACTGCTAGGTAACCTTGACATATTTGGGAAGGACATTAGAATAAGCCAGAACCTATACTGGTAGCAAACCACATGCACACAGAGTGAAAATGAATTCAGTAAATGTACAAAAGTAGAAAGAAGTTTAATACAAGTTTGTGTCTTCTCAACGGACTTATTCAATCTGTGGAGTGAGGCGATTCGATGAAAATTAGATAGATATAAGTCCTACAAGGATTCATTGTTGGCGGTTGCAATCTTGACAGCAAAGGATATGCAGATCAGACAGTTTTGATAGCAGACACGAAAAGAAAACCACAAGAATTTCTACAGAATATAGTGAAAGTGAGAAGAAAGGACTAACATCAATTGCAAGAATACAGAATGAATAGTTATCAGCAAAAGGAACAACCCTACATGCAAATTCTAAATTGGAGATACCAAAATCAAATAAGTCAAACAATTTAAATATCTGGGAAGTATTTTAACAGAGGACGGAAACCTAGATGCTGAAATCCGAAGACATTGGGATAGTGAAAGATGCCTTTCAAACATAAGCAAATTATTAAGAAACAGGAAAATTTCGTTAGAAACAATGAAAATAGTAATAGACTGTTACGTAATATCCGTTCTCCTATATAGTGAATGTTGGGCAATCTCCTCACAGATGAAGAAGGGACTTGAAGCAACAGAAATGTGCTCCTACATAACCTTGCTGAGTTTACCATGGACCAAATATTTGAGCATCGACGAACTTTTAGAGAAAATGGAAACAAAAAGGATACTTATATTTAAAATCAACAATAGACTGTTTAAACTTCCAGGGCACATAACATGGAAAGAGCGCTTGTAAAATTTGGGAGATTTAAATCAAGAGACTGTGAATAACAACGGATAGTGAGCCTGAGAAAATGAATGGCAGAACATGATTTAGATGATATAACAAAAATACATTATTTATAAAGAACTTTAAAATACAGGAAATTGTGGAGAGTAATCATCGCAAAAATCCTGAAAGGACTCTGTACAATGAGAAGGAGAAAATCAAGGCATAATCCTGGTGAAAATTTTACAATCGGGGCCATGAAACAGGTCATAATTCTGGATTTAATATTCATATACATTGTTTATTGTTTTTAATATATTTTCAAATAAATATTTTTTTTTCGAAATATATACTCAGAATATTTTTTGAAGCAACGTTTCATAGGAAAGTGTTGAAACTTGACTAATGCATGGAATAATAATGCAACACAAAATGTACTTAGAACAAAATGTATTGAAACAAGAAAGTGTACACAATATTTACATATAGTCTTTTGTATATTCCTGGTAAGACCGTTCCTGGAGAATGTGTTGACTGAGTCGCAATCTGGCAGAGTCTCTGGTTGAATCTCTTGATTTCTCCCTCTCTTCCCGGTACCAACCATATTTATATGGTCGGTACTCCACTATGAAAATTAGGTGGATCCTACCACAACAGAAAGTAACATTTTCTGGCCATTACCTGTTATGTCAAACTGTTCGTTGGGAATGTGTGTCATTCCGTGTGTTGGACCTAAGATGGAAAAAAAAGACGAGCATGCTGTCTATTCTTTTTTTTTGTATCGTCTTGGCTGAGGAGGAAGTGAAGTAGGTAGTTACTGATTGGTCGCTAGTAATTTCAAGATCAGCAGTGGCAGTTACTTAATGTGTCCATTTGCTGTATGCTTGGCGGATTTTTGCTTCAGGATCGCCCACCGGAATCAATAGTTTCGGTAGGGGCTCTTGGGCGAGCAAGTATGATGTTGGAAGGCCCGAAACTTGTCATGACTCCAAGTCATGACATCACTGACGAGGGATCCTGCGCACTCATTGGAGTGTTTTCATAACAAACAGATATATATATATATTCCAATTCTTGCTAATGCTTGTTATTTCCTTTTTCCCTGAGGAAACGCTTCAGATAAAGCCAGATATTCTATAATATTTTTGTTGTGGATTTGAATCAACGCACAACAAAGAAAAAGGCGGGAAAGGCTTTTAAATATAAAAAAATATTCTTAATTTCGTGTTTTTACAACTAAATTTTTCTCAGCGTGTACGAGTGTTAAACGTTGCTTGCTTGTAGTTGTTTTTTAAGATGAAAAGAAATGTGATATTTTTGTGTGTATGTCTGAAAATAGAGACAATGTAGAAAGTGAGGAGGAAAGTCTGTCACGTAGCTTGTTGAGGAAGAGTTTAAAGTCACGTAGCTTGGTGAGGAAGAATGTACGCGTCACTTAGCTTGGCGAAGAAGAGTGCAAGTGTTATGTAGCTCGGTGCTGAAGACGAGTCAATGAATAAGGAAATCTCTGCGCCGTCTTGAAATGCTGTCGTATATTGCCGTTCATTCTCCTTACTTATTTTGTCTGTCTAGAGACTTTTCTTAAATATTCTTTAAAGGAATCATGAAGCATTTTTTTGTCGCCTGGAACGCGACCTGTTGGTTGAAAAATGATAAATATTTATTGGTTTAATTTACTAACCGCAGGGATGCACGAATCCTCCGTCTAAGAAACCATGTTTTTTTGTCATTTGATGATTGATTCTCTTGGTGTTTATTTCCGTCTTCGCTCCACATTTTCATCAGTCGCCACTATTTTTTCTGGGCGTCCAATTTTATTACAATTGTATTTTTCTGTGAAATACCAAACGAATCCTTACAAAATCTGAACCAGTCAACTATTGTTTGCTTCGAATAAATGTAGTCACTTAAAATCAGCCACTCAGATGTCTTTTAGCCGATAAGTGTATTAACAAACTTACTTTCATTTTTACGCATGCGAAATATTGCCCCATTTTTATGGCCCCCGATTTAAGAGAGGCGGACATACTTCAAACAAAGGTAAAACGGATGGAGCTATATTCATCCTGGATGCTGCGATTGATTTTTTACAAGATCTTCACGTATGTTAATGCATGTTTTAATTTACAAATATCTTCACATACAGAGACTATAGAATCAAACTGTTTATCAAAACCTTCTTTGGAAAAGTTTAAATCAGAATATATATGGTTATAAGGGGCTAACTATTGTAGTTTTGGGAGTTTAAGCATGAACATTATCATCAGTCCGATGAGCGGGTGTAGTCTGATGGTCGCTGTGTTGAAGAGTACCTGCGCAAATCTCTTATGTCTAGATAGGTATTCATTTATGTTAAGCGTGTATTCGGCCATGTAGATCTGGCGGAGCCAGTTCCTCTCCAGGTCAGACCCTAGCCGATGTTCTTTGACTTGAAGGTTCGACTTGCCCACGGATACAAGTAAACAGACACCCTTTATTTTCAGTAGAAAAGATGAAAGTGCTTATCTTGGGCAAAGTCGATCTGGCGGAGCTCATCCCTCTCCGGGTTAGACAACAGCCGATGTTCTCTGACTTGAAGGTACACCTTGCCTGCGGGTACATGCAAACAGCTGAACAATCTTTATTGTAGAAAAGATGGTAAGTACTTCTTCGTTTTACGCTATTTTCGATAACGGAAGAAAATTGTACTAATTTATAGCTTTCGTAAGAGCGAAATGGCGCGAAGTGGATTCTCGCAATGTGGGCGGTATTTATACAGTGACGGTGATTCTGGTGGCAAGAGAAAAAGAAAACTGTACATTTGGGCTAGAGTTGTCCCGTCTTCACTTGCAACGCAAATTAAGTTTTTATTTTCTTCAAATTGCTATTTTACGGATAGACATCTATATAAATAAATGCGAATGTCAGTGTGTCACACTTCTTCAACTTTACTCCTAGAGTACGTAGCTCAACATATAATACCATTTTGGAATCAGGCCGACTCTGTGAGTAAATTAAAGACATTCTGGTCCAGATCCAGACCCGCAATCCTGAAAATTTTCATTATTGTGATTGTTTTCGGTGACTTTTTACGTGGCTTTTTGCGACGAATTTTTTTGTACGATAACAATTTTTATAACTTGGAAATAAATTTGGGAATAACTGAAATTAAATGCAAAATCCAGCAGAAGTCACACATGAAATAAAAATAATTGTTTGTACGGAAATTAAGGACCTACGTACATCAATTGTCTTTAAATTAAGTGGCACCAGGAGAATTATCGTTGGACTTTTAAAAGGTAAGCTTAAATATTAATGCCTTACTTAAATGCAACGATCAAGTTTGAGTTCTTCTGTAACGCTTAAAAAAAAAAATGAGCCAAGGTTGCAGCGAAGAAAAGAAAACTCGGATCAGACGGCAGCTAGGAATGCTTCCAGTGCTGATAATATGAAAAACTTAGGGACTCTCAAATTCCTGAAGTAGCCGAAAACCCAATTAAAAGCTTCCAACAGGAGCTAGCATAATTGCTGCCTGATAGGGTGGCTTGTAAGCTAGTATAACAATATTTCTGAATAAGAATTTGGAAATTAAAGATCTTATAGATAGATAGATTTTGACAAGATATTAATATTATGTGCGTTGTTAGAAAAGTGAAAGAATATTTAAAGGCGGAAATGATAAATATATGAGAAAGGAAATGAAAAAGGGAAGCGCAAAAATAAATGCACGAAAGTTTGCCTTTTAAACTTGAAAGAAATCTCGAGATAAACAAATGACTGTCTGGCGTGATTAAACGATAATATCGTTATTTTTTAGAAGTGAAAATCTTTGTTATTGATTCTGGAATAGTGATATTGGTCGGTGGGTTGGCCGATGCTTGTTTGTTTTTTTAAATTATAAAATGGTAAATGCAAGAAAAATTATGGAAATTACCCGAAAAAATTAAGCTGCCAATATAATTTAAATGTCTTAAATCTAAAGACATTTTTTTATTCTAAACATTTCTTTTTTTACCTCTTTACATGAGTAAGAGATTTACGACGCCATATTTTCTTTTCAGTTCTTTCTTTCTTTCTCGTTCCTTGTTCTTTTATATATATATATATATATATATATATATATATATATATATATATATATATATATATATATATATATATATGTGTGTGTGTGTGTATATAAATTCGTACATATACATATATAAAAAAAAAAAACAAGTAAACATTTTTATCCCATCGCGTTTCGCTTCCTGAGGATCTAACTTTGATAAAATTCCTCAAGGAAAAAATCGCATTGGCATATATATATATATATATATATATATGTAAAATTTCAGATATTTTATATCTGTAAAAGGACAATATGAATAAAGAAAAAAGGAAAAATTATCTTAGCCGACGCGTTTCGTTCTCCGAGGGACTTTATCAATGCAAATGCAAAGATTTTTCTTATTTTGTAACAAGTATTTATATACATGCAAAAATGTTATCAGTTTTACAAAATTTTAAATTTAAGAACGATCATAAATATTCACTAGTTTAGCCGAAAATCTATGCAAGCAATGGCGGACGAAAGATGACATGATTCAAAGTGAAATGGACGAAAGTAAGTAAATTATATTCTTGAAGTTTAAACAAAAATAATATTTAAATTATTTCAGTTCGTGATTAATTTATGTGATATATATTTTAAATAGCATGAGTTAATTTAACAGTTTTCTTTTAATTTTGTAACATCTTATACCTAGTCTGCTGGCGTGAGAAAGTAGTAATTCTTCCAAGAATCGAGATATTTGAAAAAAATTCCTTGGGAACAAATTTATATTTTGTTAAGATTCGATAGCGGCACTCTTGAGAATATCCCTTCTTATTAAGTCTCCTTCTCTTTTACTAAATGTGCTATAATTTATTTCCATTGAGAAATCGAAGAGCCGAGTTCGAAATCCAGCCCAATCTATTATATACGCTTACGTGCTAATACCCTTGGGAAAGGTATGAATCCTCCTCTTCTCCCCACAGCTATGGGTAAATAGCAAGACAGACCAAATTCTATAGTCTTGGATGGCAACAGGTCTACAGCAGAAAGAAATTGCAACCTACTGCGGGAAAAATCTGTCCCGTGAGTCATGTATCGAAAGATACATGATTGCATAAGCGTGTATCACTCATGACACATAACTGACTAATGAATTTAATAAATTGTTTTGGATAGTGAATATTACAGAGTTAGTAGGTAGTATTATGTGTCTGTTTTCATCGAGTTTATTGTCATTGTTATTTTAATAATGTTATCTTTTTTGCTATTGTATATTTTATATATCTTTCTCTTAGGATTGTGGATCTAATAATAAGGATATTGGAGGTTTTTGAAAATGTTTTTTACGTATATTTCTTCTTTGGGTAAGTATTGGGGGCTGCAGATTCTTAGTGCTCTTTAATATCCACTAACCAAAACAATTTATCCAGTCTAAACAAGACCGATATAATTACAACCACAACTATAACTATTATAGATATGATCAGAACCAAAAATAATCCAGCAGAAGCTTGAAGAAATTAAAAAAAAACATATCTATGAACACAAAAAGGATCTTATACACAACACTCAATTTGTCAAATGCATCAAATGGAAGTCAGCTTCACGCTTCAATAGAATATTCAGACTAGGATTTTATGAAATGATTTGAAGATTACATTAAAGCGTAAAAATAAGAGTCATCATGAAGTATTGATGCCTACGTCCATACTGTCTCTGTCAGTCAGTCAGACTGTCGGTCTGTCTTTCTCTCTCTTATATATATATATATATATATATATATATATTCGGCCCTTCAAAAAGTGTGGATGGGTTTTCACAAAACCCTCATTACTGTAATGAAATCTCATTTGCTGGTGTTTGAGCTCTCGGTTCATAGGAACTGATCTGCTTGATCCTCATATGTCAAATTTCGACAGGAGAATCATATATATATATATATATATATATATATATATATATATATATATATATATATATATATATATATATATATACGTGTGTGTGTGTATATTGCGGCAGCATATCTTCCTTCAAATATGTTTCATTGAATAATATAGACATATTGAGTCTGCATATTTTTATAATGATTCTTTTCAACTGTCTCTTCAACTTTTAATGTTAAGATGGAATTCATCTTGGGAGGCGCTGTAGGTTATATTAACCCATGTACTTTCGATGTTTTTTGATTAGACAACTAAAAAGTATTAGTATAAAAATAATGGACACAATATGTCTATAATATTCAAGAAAAAAAAAACACACACATTTTTTTATGCAGAGAGGAAGTGCAAAGGGCGCTTCCTTGTTTCGCAATAATTAAAATCGCACGGGAAAATAATGAGAGTGAACCCCACTGAGTTCTGCACAATTGCGACCTTGAGCCAAATTTCATCTGATATTATTCGAGAAAATCAACGAACTTGGTATATGAATACCCACACATATATTTTAATAGATCACACGTATAAAGACAATTATATACATATATATCATTTGAAGTTCTGCATTTATTGTTGAGTGAATAGAACAAATCTTTTCTGTATGTGTGCCAAAACCCTATATATATATATATATATATATGTGTGTGTGTGTGTGTGTGTGTGTGTGTGTGTGTGTGTGTGTGTATACATTAGTTATCTTGCTTTATTATTATGTTTCATTATTCTATCCATGGTTTTATACACGATGGCGCCACTTTTCTTGACATGTTCATATTGATTTAAGTTTCGCAATGAAACAATCGTCCAAGGCGTTAGGAATTAACATCTTGTCGCTTTTGTGGTCTCAGGGTATTGAAAGACAGAATTGCACACTTGCAAGAGTAAAAAAAAGCTGACACATGCAAAAACAGAAATGCACGTAAATACCGAGAAACTGAGATTCTTTTGCAAGCATATATTCTAGAATCAATGTCTGTTACAATGACAAACTTTATCTATCTATCTATCTATCTATCTATCTATCTATCTATCTATCTATCTATCTATCTAGGCTGTTTTCTCTTCATCCAGTAAGAGTCACTGGTATTCATCCAACCTCTTTCCATATTTTCTTCTACCAATTAATTTCGATTTCTTTTCTTCCACATCTCCCTATGGCCTGCTCATCTATCTATCTATCTATCTATCTATCTATCTATCTATCTATCTATCTATCTATCGTTCTGTTCATATCTATCTATCTATCTATCTATCTATCTATCTATCTATCTATCTATCTATCTATCTATCATTCTGTTCATATCTCTCTATCTATCGTTCTGTTCATATCTATCTATCTATCTATCTATCTATCTATCTATCTATCTATCTATCTATCTATCTATGCTGTTTTCTCTTCATCCAGTAAGGGTCCGCAGTAGTGATTCAATCTCTTTCCATATTTCCTTCTGACAATCAATCTTTCTTTTCCTCTATATCTCTCTATGCCTTACTTATCTATCTATCTATCTATCTATGGGCTAATGTTGTCGGAGAAATATTTAACGTCATACAAGATACACTTTCTATCGACAGAACATTATGCGTTATATACTCTGATTATTGGGTTAGTGGTATTAGAGTCATATTCAGATACACATTTTTACACGGTGGTGCTCTTATCAACAAAGCAATTAGATATAATTCTATACGACTACATATTTATTTCAAATAAAAATCATTGTTTTAATACCATGCCCCTTCATGAATTTAACGATCGTATTCTCCACAAACTCATTTTTCTTTATTATCTGTGAATTGGTACAACTTCTCGAGGAAAACATACGAGTGCTGCGTTTTACATAGTTTTGAATTTAGTGTCGTGCATCTTGGCTTCTTTTGTTTTACTGCATATCACCCTCAATGGCTTATTTAATGCCAACAATTATTATTGCTGTTAATATATTTTTTCCCCAAAACATTGCAGTTAATAATTTTTTTCAAAAATGTATTACTGTTAATAATTTCTTCCTCAAAAATTTATTGCTGGTAATAATTTTTTACAATCTATTTCTGGTATTAAAACCTATTTTTACACTTTCGGCATGTTTTGACCCCAGTTTGGGGGTTAACTATTTGCTCATGTGTGACTCTAACAGGTGATACCACCCTGGATCAGGGTGGGCCTGTGAACACCAGCAAATAAGAGGTGGTTTCACGCTCCTCCTAACCTCTTGATCAGAGACCTTGCTGTTGGACGTAGTTTATCGTCTTACCCAGGACGTGATGTAGTTTATCGTCATACCCAAGACGTTGCTTCTTCTTGATAGTTGTCATCCAAAGCATCAGAATTGACATGGTTCTCTAGCCCAGTCTACTTTGATATGTAACCCATAGCTGGACAGGAGTCCAAATTAATCCATATTATTTTTAATGATGAATATATAAAATGTCATTGGTCTTAGCATAATCATATTTTTTCAACCCGATATCCCTTGTGGACGGAGGTGAGAATTAACATCCACGGGCTGCTTTTCCTCTATTATCCATAAATTGCCACGAACTTTTCCAAAAATAGGGAAGTGGTTTCCCTTACCTTTTCTTCTTCTTCTTGTATCCGCTCTGTCACTTTTTGTTATCACTGCTAAACCTACTTCCGCCATCCATTTACTCAAGCTCGTTAGGTAGGCCACGCCTTCAACCTGTCACGTGAGTATTCAATTTTACAAGCCATCTTTCCTCAATACGCACTTTAGAAATTTCAACTGTCTCTTCCTGATATTAACCTTTATTCGCTTCTTTTTTTTCTCTCAGTATACTCCTGTAGAACCACAATTCTGTTGCTTCAAGTCTCTTCCTCGTCTGTGAAGAGATTTTCCAGCGTTTCCTATCATTCGAAAGAGAGTTAGCTCAGTATACCCTACTATTTAACCCATAGCTGGCACCAGAAGATATAAATGATACTTTTCGGGACCATGTTAAAATATTATTTTACAAATAAAATTAATATAATAGCTCATGTCATTAGTTGAATATATTCATTTTTCTCCTACAAATATTATAGGTGTGTATTATATGCCAGTACTTGATATAAGGTGAGTTATATTCTACATTTTTTCAATGGCGACGTTTGGAGCCGGGTTCTCAAATGTTAGTTTTCAAGATATATAGAAAACTTTCTTACGGACTGTAAAATGGATCATGGAAATCGTTATGGCAACAATATAAAGAAAGATTTCAGTTTTACAGTGAAGTTAATTTTAACAGCTCAAAATCAACGTCTAGTCAGTGAATTCCAATATCACTACTTTGAATTAACGATTCATTTTTGGGAACTAGTATATCGTGACCAAAAGATTAAATATATAATCTAGTAGTCACACAATAAAGTAGAAATCCAATAGCATGAGTCTATCGTGTGGTACTACTGAATTGTTATATGTTGGTGGTAATGATGTTGCAACATTTCAACAATATCTGAGCCACGGTTAAAACATCCGAATGTTCTTTATGCCTGAGCGCTTTCGGCTATACTTTTAGTCATTCGCAAGATAATCTTATTTTTACTTTTAACTCAATGCATGGATTTTTTCATGTATCAATTTCGTTTTTGTTTTCATCTAAAATAAGAATATCATCTCTAGACATAAATTTTATATATACGTATATACATACATACATACACATACATATATATAAATATATATGTATGTATGTATGTATGTATATATGTATATATATATATACAGAGGACCTTATAGAATGTGAACGTAAACTCAGACTGAACTAAAAGAAACATTAATTAACAACAAAAATATTACGGATGACTCAATAGTTAAAAATAAATACAAATTCTTCCCAAACAAAAAAGAGAATACAAATGAATTAAACATATTTTTTTTGAAAATCTCTGGATCCCCAACTTACAAGAAAAATCGAAATCATTCAATAACCTCATATACAGACAAACGCTAGCCTTAGAGAACCAGGGAAATAACAATATAATTATAAACGAAACAGATAATGGCAGCACAATAGTCACCATGGACAAAATATACTATAAAACAAAAGTTCGAAAGACATTAGGGGATAAGAACAACTATAAATTAATAGATACCAACATAGACAAAATATATATATATATATATATATATATATATATATATATAAAACCTCTGCACAACACATAATAAAATATTGACAAGAAAAGAAAAGGACATACTAATAAAATTCATCCCAAAATCGAGTCATTTTACGGACTACCTAAAATTCACAAATCGAGTGAAATAAAAACAGCTATACAGACATAAAAATCTGAATGTATTAACACCCCAAAACCCAGTGGTCTTACATTTAGACCCATAGTCTGTCCAACGAGCAGATTCAGTAATCTAATAGACACCATTTTTTCTTTTTATGCGCCATGTCCTTACAGGACGTAGGCAATCATCGCTCTCAACTTCCTTCTATTCCATGCAGCTCTCATCAATCTCCTTCCCCCTACTTCCTCCCCGAGATCACGTTCTGTCATCCACCTGATCAAGCTCGTCAGGTATGTCACGCGCTGTTTTCCCTTGTCGCTCTATTCGATTCGTAAGCATCAGATTCTCCAGGCCCTCCTTCCTCATTATGTGTCCCAGAATCTTCAGCTGCCTCTTTTTGATGTTAAGCCTTCTCCTTGAGATTACCATTTCCATTTCCAATCTCCATTTTGGTTATTCCTCATTCCGTAACCATTTCTAGGTTACAACAGTAATAAAATCTGAATGATTAATACATCATACTGCACCGATTTACTTAAACAGATTAAGAGCTACATCAGAGACGATAGACACTTCCTTAGCTCCATACCAAAAAAAGTAGATCCAAGAATACTGATGGCAATATTTGACATTAGTAGCCTATGTAACAACATCCCCCGTGAATTAGGTAAGAAGGCAGTCTCATTCCGGATTGAAAAACAACCAGAAATACTATATCTTAGATTTTCTAAGGCTTTAATTGTCGATAGTATATACCTAATCCTGAATAACAGCTCTTCTGAATTTGATAAAAAAAATAATCTATATCCAAATCCCAGGTACCGTAATGATAACGAAATGGTACCAACGTTTGACACACCTTAATCTTAACTTACCTAGAGGAAAACCTTTATAAAAAGATATAGAAATATTATGGGGAAAATATAAAAACCCACTTTACTAAATCTTGGAAGAGATACTTAAATGATTGCTTCATCTTCTGGAAATCCTGATGGGCCAATATTAAGGAATTACACAATTTACTCCAAAACGTACATCTGAAAATCAAATTCACTCAGAAAATATAATTTGAACGAAATACCATTCTTAGATTTACTCATAAGAAATAGAAATGACCATATTGTCACTGATCTCTACCATAAACTTAATTTTCATTTTATAAGCCATCACCCAAAAAGCTGCCTGAAATCCATCGCTTATTCCATATCACGTCTCAATATGGAACAAGGACAATGCAGAATCCTAGACCTACTGAACAAGAATGATTAAATGAAAGATATACTAAAAACAACTAAATTAATTAAAAGCAAACACGAATCGAAAAACTTAAAATATAAAGCGATTCACTCCGCCAGAAATTTGGAAACGGCATGTGGTAGTCCTTGGCATTCGCTTCGGAATCTCCATTACGATCATTTGATCATAGTGTTTGGCGTCGTGGTACTTTTTTTCTCACAGACGGTGCCCAACTGACACTACTATAAAAAAACAAAGAACGTACATGAGCGAAATTCAAAATATAAAATGGTGACAATTTACAAATCACACCCTGTGTTTCTGAATATATATATATATATATATATATATATATATATATATATTAATGACAATTAGTAAAAACGTTAATGAATGTATAATGTTTCGAAAAAAATATCCGGTAATGCATTTCGCCCATTTTGGGGTTCATCATATCGAAAAAGAATATCCATCTGATGAAGTATAAAAGGAGCGAAATGTATTATTGGATAGTTTTTTCGAAAACTTATACGGTCGAGATAATTCACCCAACACACACACACACATATATATATATATATATATATATATATATATATATATATATATATATATATATATATATATATATATATATATCGTCTACCCAAATTACATGACATGATTTGTGTCAATCATCGCTTCTTTTAAACTTCCTAATATTACTACTTCGCATAAATCAAAAAGTCACAACATTGATAAATCACTCGCTGTGGGATTCGGAAACTGCCTGTATTATCATCCACAGAAAAAGAACGACAAAGTTTCGCTGTATCACAATTCACCAGCTTCCCTATAGCCAGGATCGAAACCCGACTGAATTGACAAGTGTACTTGTGAAGCTTTTCGTTCTTCGGGGGTTTTCCGAACTAAATTTAGTCTGATGAAATCCTTAAGGACGAAAC